TCTGATGATGCGGACTTTTGTTAGCAAGGTGATGTCGGGGAGACAATATACAGCCTTGTCGTACACCTTTCCCAATTTTGAATCAATCAGCATGCCTTAAGGAATGTCAGCTTTCTTTTGATAGAGCTCTGACCATTATTTCCAAGCCGGATCCGTGTCTGCTTCCATTCCTTTTCCCACCTACTCTTCTGCAACAGTTGGTAACCAGTCCTTAGGGGCAGGCGACGCAGGCCCTCCAGATGTGTTCCAACGGACAGCCTGCATCAGCCTTAGGGCTCCTCCTAGTCGACAGTGAAAGATTTATGGGAATTGTAGTCCAAGAACATCTGGAGGGCCGTTGCTGCCTGCTTCTGCACCCACGGGGAATAGTCAGTGCGCCCATGGGTGACTCCAGAAGTAACTCCTCTGAAGCAGAGCGGTTGGATCAGTCCGGGGGCAGAGAAGGTTTCTCCCTTGACCAGAGGGGGTGGCGGGGGGGGGGAACGGGAGCAGTCCAAGTGGACAGGCCGGCCAGCCAACCTGCCTCCCTCATCAGCCATCCCACTCGCAGGGGGAGGAAGAAATACTGCTGAGTCCGGGCACTGAATCACCGCGCTCAACGACAGCAGTAATCCAATTTAGCCTTGCCAGGAGGGCTCCATCCATCACCAAGAGCGTAATGCCAGGCTGGCTGCTGCTCTGGCTGGTTTGGGGTGATTGGAAATCAGAGCCGAGTGGTTCGGTCGACTCCGAACGATATTGGGGCTGTAAAACCGCTTCCTCCTGGCAAAGGCTGGTGTTTATTTATCTGCTGGGTTGTCGCAGATGTCAGGAGAGGCATTTGGTTTGATTTCTAAGCAAGCCTTTTAACGGGTTGTCTAAAAAGCAAGCCAGCTTCAAAGCCCAAGTCATTTGGGGTCCAGGAATAGCGGCAAAAATTAAGAGTTGGGTCTTAGAGTTATTAGGAGCAACCAAATGTCACAAAAGTGGTGTCGACTTTTGAGTTCTCCAGAAAGCCTATTCATAGGAGGCACAGTGAGGAATTGAACTCCAAACCTCTGGCTCTGCAACCAGATACCTAAGCCACTGATCCATTTTGTGCTTTAACAGCATTTTATTACCTTTTACTGGAGTGACCAAATTGGTCCCATTCAAGACCTAGATTGTTTTGTTTTTGGAAACAGGTGCAATACACTATCTGCCATTCGAAGTTATGCTGAATTTCTTTCACATGCATGGCTCATTTGAGGTCAATTTTAATTTTAAAAGTATTTTAAATCAATAAACATGACAAAATAATAAATATTCAGGTGTTTAGATCGAGGGTCTCACGCAACCCCGCGCGGCCAGTTTTTTCCATGTGCTTTATTGCTTTTCGTCCCCCTGCTTTATTGCCCGAGGTTGCAGCTCTGAGACGGGCAGCAGAATTGAAAAACGGCTCTCTGTCTCACCCGGACTGATCATCAAACGGGGAAGAGGGGAAGTCAAAAGTAGTCCTAACATCTGGGCAGATCTGGTGCCCATTCAATGTGAACCTAGAGTAATTCCCTAGATAAAGCTTGTTTGGTTTTTTAAAAAAAATTATTGAAGAGATTTGCCCCCCCCTTTCTCTACTAAAAATTAAGAGGAATTCAGTAGATATCTCACCCTCCGTCAAGAAAAAAGAGTTGCCTATGGCAGGATTAGGGGTAAACGGAAGGCCCGTAGCCTCCAAGCACATCAAAGGGAACAGCATGAGGTGCATGCTCAGGTCTTGCCAAGGACGCTGGACTTCTCGAGGCTTGGATTTTCGAGCCAGGAGGTGGACCCTGGTGGGACTGGGTGGGAGGAGTCCAAAGATCAGCGAAGGAAGAGGAGGAGGGCACCTAGCCACTGCTTGTGGCTTAACTCCAGTGGGAGTTAAACTACAGCACTGCAGTGAAGACTCTGCTCAGAACCAGAGTTTTATCCTGATGGTCTCAGGTAGCCGGCTCAAGATTTCAAGATTAGCTCTCTCTCTTTCTGTCTCTCTCTGTCCTGCATAATTAAATTATAAACGAACCAGAGAGTGCTTTACGCACTACGGGAGCATTTGCTTTGCTCTGCTCCTCGGAGAATAGGGTAGGACAGCTGAAAGCGTGGCCAAGACAGAGCTGGGACTCTCCTGGCTGTGGGATTCTGGAAGTTGTATCCAAGAGATATGCTTTTCCAAAATGTTGGGCAGGGCGAGAAGCACCCAGCACATGGCCAGGGTCCAAATGCCTTGGCCTCTGGCCCCCGCCCCCCGAGGCTTTGCTGCCTTCTCTGGACGTTCAGTGAAGGGATCTTAAAACCTTCTGCCATTAGCTCAGAACCTGAATATGTCCCAGCCTAGACCCTGCTTTTCAAGAGTGCCACTTGTAGGTTGTGTTTTGGGGGTGGAGGGTGGGAGAAGATTAAAATCCCGTATATAGGTAAAAAGGTAAAGGTTCCCCTTGATATTTTAGTCCAGTCGTGTCTGACTCTAAAGCGTGGTGCTCATCCCTGTCTCCAAGCTGTAGAGACGGTGTTTGTCCGTAGATCGTTTTTCCGTGGTCGCATGGCCAGAGTAGAGCCGCCGTTTGTCCATAGATCGTTTTTCCGTGGTCGCATGGCCAGCGCAACTAGACACGGAACGCCGTGACCTTCCCACCAAGTTGGTCCCTGTTTATCGACTCGCATTTTTACATGTTTTCAGAATAGAAACAGAATGCAGTGACCTTCCCACCGAGTTGGTCCCTGTTTATCGACTCACATTTTTACATGTTTTCAAACAGCTCGTTTGGCAGGAGCTGGGACAAGCAACAGATGCTCACTCCGTCGCGGGGATTCGATCTTATGACGACTGGTCTTCTGACCTTGCAGCACAGGGGCTTCTGCGGTTTAACTGGCAGCACTACCATATTATTCACAATTAGGTGACGGGAGGGACCAGTGTGTTGCAAGAGCGCTGGTTGCCGTTACTTCTTGCAGAACACAGGAAAGATGTAATCACATTAACCGTACATCAGATGCTGGCTTATTCCATAAAGGGTGTCCTTCCCTTTTTACTGACATTTTAAAAAAAACGTTTTTAAACAAAACAAATCAAAATGTAGACAGTTATACAAGGTTTTTGCTGAGGTCGGGGAGAGAAATGGAGCATGGCACGAGCATTGGGGGGGTTCTCCCCTCCCCTGCCCAAATTTGTATTATTTCCAGCACTGGTGTGAAGAGAGGGGGCAGATGTGTTTCTCGAAAAGATTGCGGGGCAGGGGTGCAAGGCATGCGCTCCAGGGAGTGGTGAAATGGGGAGAGGGCACTTCTCTGCCTAACAGACAAGGTGGCCAGGAATCGGAGAGCACGCCTTTCAGGGTTTCTTTATGGAGACATTTACGTCTCTGGAAATGCACATTTTCCTCCTTTTGTTTCCTTGTTTCCTTGGCCCTTCCAACAAAAGGGAATCAACAGAGCATTTTAATTGCCGGAATGCAAAAGGGGGGGGGGCTTGGTGTTTTCTTCAGGTGGCAGCTGTGCAAAATCTCCGCGGCAGGGGGCAGGGGCGAGATTCCTTTTGCGGATCGGGGCCAGTAGCCCCAGCCAAGCTTTTTCTGGGGCTGCAGGTGGAGAGAAAGGGGAGGTTAATGGGCAGCATCGGGGCTTTTTTCGAAACTGGAAAATGCACATCCTCCCTTCAGCATCCGATCCGAGCCTGCGGTTGGTTTTAATCTTTTGTTGCTGGTGAACTCTTAAATCTATCTTCCTCCCGAGGTGATTCCCAAGTTAAAACGGGGCCTCTTGCTGGAAAGGAAGGTGGGCTGATGCAGAGGGATAGTGCCAGAGTGAATTGGGTAGGAGAGACCCAGTGGAGCAGGGCTTAGAATGAGTGCAGAATTTGGCCTTTGTGCTAAGGGGCCACGGCCGGTGGTGCTTTGACCATTGTCCAAAGCACTGATCCTTCCTTCAAGGCTTTGAAGCAAAGGTGAGGCATTTCAAGCGCTGGAGCTGAGTCAGGTCCTCCAACGGTCCCGATCTGACCTTCTGGAATTCCCCAGCTGGCCACATACTTTGTGGCGCAGTGCTTAAATTGCAGTAGTGCAGTCAAGATTCTGCTCCCACCCTGAGTTCGATCCCCGTGCGCTCAGATAGCCAGCTCGGGCTTGACTCCATCCTTCCAAGATCGGTCGAACGAGTACCCAGCTTTGCTTTGGGGTGGGGGTGGGGGGCGTTACAGGGACATCTGCAAGCGGGATCTGAAGGCCTTAGGAATAGACCTCAACAGATGGGAAACCCTGACATCTGAGCGTTCAGCCTGGAGGCAGGCGGTGCATCATGGCCTCTCCCAATTTGAAGAGACACTTGTACAGCAGGCCGAGGCAAAGAGGCAGTCCCGAAACAAGCAAAACCAGGGAGCTGGACAGGGGACAGATTGGATTTGTCTCCAGTGTGGAAGGGATTGTCACTCTCGAATTGGCCTTCTTAGCCACACTAGACGCTGTTCCAAGTCCTCCATACAGAGCACAATACCATAGTCTCTCGAGACTGAAGGATGCCTACATGGGGGTGCGGGGAGGTGCGGAGAGGATGTGTAGCTTGCATCATTAAATGGTAAACCACCTAGGGTGGTAAACCACCATAGCTTTAAGCGCTATGGGCCGGTATATAAGCAGCATGTGTTTGCTTTGGTTTATCATCCGTTATCCGAACTGGCCAACAAGAATACATATCATGGTTTCTGGCTCCCTCTATTGGCCAGTTCTCGTAAACACAACATGAAAATACGTATTTCTAAGGTGTTGTTTTATGCTTTTAATATTTTTAATATATTCAGACCGCAGATAAGGGAAACTGCAGAGACTGATCCTGCAGATCGGGTGTGTGTGTCCGTCCCACTGTATCTCCTTCGTGTTCCTGTGCCATTGGAGGCCATCGGACTGACAGATGGAGGGAGAGTGGGAAGATCAGAATGGAGGGGGGGGGACGAAGGGGGAACCTTCTGGTATAAAGCTGTGCTACCTGTCTTCCCTTTCCTCCCTTTTTCCCAGGGTGTTGCAGAGGCCGAACTGGAAAAAGACTTGAGCAGGACCCTGAAGCTCATGGTGCGGTCGGTCCGGAAGGAGGTCAGTTTCCGTTCGAACGATTGCGGCCCTGAGAGAAGGAAATGGTCTCTCCCTCTATCCATCCCCCCCCCCCG